TCAACTGCGTGAACAGGTCACTTCGCTAGTCGACCAACTAGCTCTATCAAACGGGCCACTCGAAGATGGTCTCGGCTCTCGACTGCGGAGGTGTTCTTCGTATCTCGAAACGGGCCCGTACTGATAGTACGGGCGGAGACGTCCAACGTAAAACGTAGGATGCGTACGCATCTTACGGGGCAGTTCAATCTTGTATGCGTTGCCCATTCGGCGCAACACACGAAATGGACCGATGTACCGGAGCAGTAATTTACTGCTGCCCACGTTTGTCACTGCGTGCTTCGGTGAGTTTAATGTAGACATTAAAACTAGGTCTCCTTCTTCAAATGAAAGAACATTTGCTCTTCCATGTTTGTCTGCATTTCTCTTTTGTCTGTCTAGTGCATCTGCAACAGAGTCCTGAACGAAGCGGACAACCGCTTCGCGAGTCAGCAGAAATTCCTCTGCTGATTCATTCCTTGTCAACAGCAGTGTGCTTCGTGTGCACTGCTGAAAGAGCGTTGTCTTCACCAGTGAGGGTGTCATCGTCCTCACTGTGGCAGTCATTGGCGATGCTGAATATACCAGCATCGTCGTCACCAACATCATCATCGATGTCGATGTGGTCGACGTCGGTATCCATCACGTCGACACCATTGTCGACGGGTGATGAGCAAGAACCAGATCGGTTTTTGCTCGAGCGAGTCCACCCCCCCTTAAACTAGAGTCACACTCTAAGAAGGCGGGTAAATGTGGGTGGCGTATTCCATTCACGAAGAATGGTGTATGCGTTGTAGACGCGTGCACCGAGTTGTTGATGACGAATTCCGCCATCGGCAAGAACTCACTCCAGCTCGTAAACGAGTGTACATACCCTCGAAGTATCTCTTCGAGAACGCGGTTGACGCGTTCCGTTTGATCATCTGTTTCTGGGTGGTCAGAAGCTGACATCTTCAAACGTGTTCCAAGTGAACGGAACACGGATTGCCAGAACTCTACTGTGAAGCGGGGGTCCCTATCGGACACGAGCTCACGGGGTAACCCGTGAAGTCGGAAGATAGTATCGATGAATACACGCGCACAGCCCTGGGCTGTCATTGACTCCGGTACAGCAACCAGATGTACCATCTTGCTGAACCGATCAACAAACACAAGAATAACAGTATTCTTGTGAACGTCTTTGGGAAACCCGAAGATGAAGTCCATCGATACGGACTGCCAACACTCTGCCAGAATCGGAAGAGGCTGCAAGGGTACGCGAGATGAAGAACTAGGCTTCACCCGTTGGCAAACTTCGCGAGCGCGAATGCATTTCCGCACGAACTCATACTGGCGGGGTCAGTAGAAGTCACGACTCACCATGAGGTAAGTCTTTTCTCTACCGCGATGCCCACTTGTTGGGGCATCATGACAATCATACATGATGCGCAATAGCAAATCATTATGAGCCGGAACGACGACACGAGGTGTGTCGCCGTGGACTGCTGTTTAGTACAGCAGTCCATCACGAACCGAATATCGTTCGGTTGAAGAGCGGTATTGAGACGTCAAGCTTGTCAAAGCTTGATAACACGGATTGGATACGTAATCCATCAACCGCAGAAGAAACTCATCTTCTGCGTATGCTTTTCGCACATCGTCGAGCAGATTCGACGACGGAACACCTACTGCTAGTGTCGCGACAGTGGGATCACCCCTAATGTTGGGTCGCGCAGTCGACTCGAAATCGAGCCGACACAAAAGAGCATCAGCGACGACATTAAGTCGTCCTGGTTTGTACTCGACGGAGAAGTTGTACTCCGCGAAGAAAGACAGCCACCTCGCCATTTGTTGCGAGAGATGTGGCCTGTTTATGGCCGTGCGTAACGACGCATGGTCGGTATAAACGATGAATGGTCTATCTCCGAAGACATATACCCGGAACTTAGCCAGTGCATATTTCATGGCAATGCGTTCCTTGTCATGCACTGGATAGTTCCGCTCAGCTTTTTGCAGCTGACGCGATTGATAACAGACGACGCGCTCAACGCCGTCTGAGTCGTACTGCATTAACGCGCAGCCGATCGCAAAATCGCTGGCGTCACAGACCACATGAAATGGCCTATCCTGATCTGCAATCGCCAACACGGGCTATTGCACCGAGCTTTTCTTGATGCCTTCAAAAGAGTGCTGACACTCAACGCTCCATGACCACCTCTCGTTTTTCTTTAGTAGACGAGAGAGATGCACGGTCATCTCTGCATAGTTGTGCGAGTATTTGTGCAAGTACGCCGCCAAGACAACGAACTTTCGAAGTCCCTTGACGTCGACTGGCACAGGCCAGTCGCTAATCGCCTTGATCTTTTCCGGATCAGGGCGTGCACCGTTTTTCCCCACGATGCAGCCAAGAAGTGGTATTTCGTTCGCTGCGAATATACACTTCTTGAGGTTCGCGAACAACTTATGCTCTCGCATCAGAGTAAGAACCTTCCGGACGTGGATTCTATGAGCCTTAACGTCCGTCTTTCCATCCGTAGCCCGGATATGGACGAAAACATCGTCGAAGTAACTCGGTGCGAAATCGCGCACCGATCGCAACATATGCGTAACACATCTGTTAAACGTTGCGGGGGCGCTACTTAGCCCCTGTGGTATCACTAGCCACTCCCAGAGCATACCACTGGGGGTGCCCACTGCTGTGTAAGTGATATCCCGTTCACGCATTAGGATTTGATAGAATCCATCCATCAGACCCATGGATGAAAAGATGGTACTCTTTGCCATACCATCTATTATGACATCCTTTCTTGGGATCGGCGTTTGAGCCGGTACCGTTGAAGTGTTCAATTTGTTGAACACGTGCACTATCCACCACCCTCTTGTGGCTTTTCACACACAGAAGGTCGGAGAGCTGTGAGGAGAAGTTGACTCCCTCACATGACCATCCGCTAAACGATTGGCTAAGAATTTGTCGATCGCTGTGACCTTTTCAAGAGGAAGTGGCCACTGCTTCATGACACAGTATTTCGAACCGGGTTTCAGTTCGATCTCATGCCGAGTGCCTTTGTCCTTGGGCAGCTCGCATGGCACGGATTCGGGAAAACATCCCTGAATCCGACCGAATCCTAATACAAAGGAGTTGTCTTTAAAGACTCCCAAGATTGAGACGTGTATCGCTCAATCCGGATCTTCTCATCGAGGACACTCTCGTCCGTGGATGATCTAAAAAGAACCCGTTCGTTCTCATCAAACACTTATGCCGAGCGTTCATTGTCCACGTACTCGTCCTCTGTGATGAGTAAGCAGATCTGCTCGATCCTGTCACTACGCAGATCTCGCAAGAATCTTTTAGATTCTAGCATTGGAAACTTGATTACCTCCGAAGTCAGCTTCGGAGGTAATCAAGTGTATAAGCGCCTATACCTGATCCGCCATTCACCAAGACATTCACTGTCTCGGTGATTTTCTGGGCAAATACATCCGCAGGTGGTTGGGGATCCACACCCTCAACATAACTCTCTCGGGAGTTATTGCTCTCAGGAGCGCTGGAACTTACTTCCATTATGTGTACTGACTATGGGTGTATTGCCACAGTCAGGTCCTCTTCGATCGACTCTCTTTCAGTCAAGCGGCCTTGCTCTAAGATCGATTCTCTGACAGACCATCTCGCTTCAACGTGCTGTCCATCCAGAAAAACAATAATCTCTTCTCGGATGCACCCTTCTTGGTGTGCATCCGTGTTCCAGTCTATTGGATCTCGTCTAGTGGTGAACCTTCGGCGCAGCCTGTGTCTCTACACAGGTGCCGGAAGCTGGTTCCACAGTGCAGTGGCCTTCTACACTGTGATCTTGTGCAATCGTACTAACGACCGTACCACAATTGAGGCCATCGCACTCACACGTAGTACATCCACACGCTTGTGGACGCTCCAAGACGTTCATCAGATGGCCATCTGATGAACAAACGGCAGGCATCTTCTCGGATCGATGCTGTCAGCTAATCCATGGCTGGTACTTTCGAAGCCATGGCAGACCAAGGATGACATCAAATTTGTCATTCAAATCTAATACGATAAAGTCATCATCGTACTGCTTTCCTTCTAGTTTGTAGTGGATTCCCACTACACGTTTGTTCACTGTTACGGATGCGCCTGTTGCAAGACACACCGTCATTCTCGTTGGAGGGAACTCTCGCTCAACATAGTCGAGCCTACTATCCCTTAGCGACTGACGTCGAATAAAACTGTTCGACGCCCCACAGTCAACTAGGGCGCGAAGGGACTTTCTACGTGTCATTTCGATCTTCAAAGTGATAGGAGACTCCTCATCACTAGAGGCAGTAGCACACAGAGACTGCGTGTTGGGAGCAATTTTCGTCAAGGGTCCTGTAAATTCTCTTGACGTTGCTGGATCAGCAGGGTGCTCCGCCCCTAATGACCCTGACCGTTTTTGGACGGTCCGACTTGCTGTCGCGGCTAAGCGACATGATCGGACTCACGCCTCGGACCCTTCCTTGGCCGACGGCGGTCATTACGTCCTGTCTTTGGACGTGTTCCAGTGCTCGGGACACTACACTCATGAGCGTAGTGTCCAATCTTCTGACAGCGATGGCATCTTGCCGTTCGCTTGTGACTCAGAGAGCGAGAGTTCTAGCTCTCGATGTAACAGAGGTCCATTGGTTCGGGACCTCCTGTTTCCTGTCGTATCGTCGGACGATAGTTTCGCGAGTTAGTCTGAGCCTGTCTCAGACAAAAGTCCTCTTGTTCCGCATATGCTGTCACCTTTTCCAGCGTATGGAAGTCCTCTCGGAACATGTAGGTCTTAACTAATCCATCTACAAGGCTGTAGATTAACACATTAATGAGCGTGTGCTCATCAACAGGGTTTTCCGTGACGCTACTCGCAAGGTAGCGTAGGTGTTGTGCGTAATCATGCACATCACGCTTACCTTGCTTGAGCCTCAAGAGTGCAGAGCGTGCTCTGAGATCGGCTCTTGGCGGCTCAAACGTCTCTTTGAGCCGAGACTTCAAGACCTCCAACGACTCAAACACGTTCGGGTCGTAAAGCTTGAGCCCTAAGGTCCAAGTCTTTGCTCGTACTGTCAAATTTAAGCAAAGTGAAGGCGAATTGCATCCCGTCACCCTCGATGTGACGGGCCCTGATGGCGTCGTCTAACTCGACGAACCATCTTAAAAGGGAATCTTCATCTGTTCCCTTGTACCTTGAGATATCGATCTTCAAGTTTTCGAATAGACGCGTGTGTGTCGGCCCGCCGATCGACTGATGAGAGCCTTGCTGCTGTAGCAAGGCCATCTTCGGTATTTCGACGGCAAGTTCCCCTTGTGGGAACGTGTTGATAGCAGCATGTTGCTGGTCTCTGCTTAGAGACTCCAACATACCACTGATGGCGAGTTCGCCCATGAGCACACTCATGCGGCCGACTACCTCCCATTCTGAGTCACTCAGATGGGAGTAGCCTTCACGTGTGACGTGAAAGCTGTCGTCTTCTACTTCCAACATGTTCATGTTGAACGGACACTAAGTAGTCATTGGACGGACTACAAAGTGCTACCAGGTGTAACGGGTCCCCCTTTGTTTGGGGTGCCGCGAAACTTCACGTGCACTAGTACGTGCAGAGGAAGCTATTCTACTTGAACGACTCGGTCAAGTAAAGATAAAAAAAGAACTGCATTTTATTTAGTTAAGCTATCAGTATAACTCTAATCTTTATCCAACTATTTTAAACTACGCCGTCGTATGACGACAACCAGCTCACCACTCATTGCGCGCGTCTAGCTGCGATTGGTGACAATCTATGGTTGATATGTGGTACATCAACCAATCTTTGAGCAGCGCATGAATTTTATCCTAAAAGTGGATAATATTCCTTCAATATTTCCATCCCGGATAATATCGGTAGAATATTGTCACGCCAGACAATATTTCCTATTGGCACCGTTTGGTGTCAATAACGCGTAACTGGCTATCCCGTAACGTGTTTCGTCCTCCAGAAAACTATTTTTCAAGATCACGTATTGCACGTAGTTTTCCGCATGCCTCTGAATCGTGACGAAGAAGCCAGTGTGTGGACTCCTCGTCTCATGCAGTAGGCACTCACGTAAGTGTCTTGTTACTGCTCTGCAAGCAGAATAGAAAGGAACTCTCATCCCACCGAAAGCGGCGACATTGTCGTAGATGGACGCAAGGACCAGGTTGTTAGTGACAGTACGAGGGAGCGCAATGATGCTGAGCAGTGACTGCACTCGTCAACGCATGAAGTAGCGTGCACGAACATCGTGGGAACAGCACCAACCTTGTTGTGTGGATAACATGACCCATTCGTATCGTCTTCGAGCAACATGGTGCCAGTTTCGACGACGCAGACACGAGATATTAGCTGACACTCGTTGCTTGTCAAGAACGAAATAAAGCCCAACACGCTACGTACTTCGTCTCTGGCATGCGACGCATAAACCGTGGTTCGGACATGCGTGAGAGTCTCGTCGTACAACGTGCTGCCGTAGTCGACAACCATGCTCACAACCATGCAGGCTTGTCGGATGAACGTCGTGATCCGTATCGTATCTGCTGATCCGTCGGTCTTCAAGCCAACATCCGAATGATAGCCCGCAATACTTGGCGCATCGCATTCTGCACAGGACTCGTGTTGATGCCGGCTCGCTCACCGATATTGTCGTCGGAACTCTGATTTATTTCTCGAATACACGAAGGGAAGACTACCCAGATAGATAGATATACAACGGTACAGAAGATCAAGGTGAGCCTCATGTGTCGGGTCTAGCACATGGGCGTACTGTCTTTTGCGATAGCTGATTGCTACACAGGAGAACAGAAGTCAGTGGATAAAGAAGTCAGAATTGATTTTGAACGAGTTGAAGGTTGGCTACATTGATGTCGCGTTACCCCTTCACTAGTCTACGAATCCACGCCTACGGCTTGAACTGTCTGAACAGATACAGTCGGTTCGTGGGACAGGTTCAGGATAAGCTTGTCTCTCGTCATCAACTCCATTCAATGTGATCGCGGTCACCGAGACCTTGATCGTATGAAAAGATTGGCAGATAGGTCGTAGCTGAAGGCCTAGTAGTCGATGTGGTGGTCGAAGTGGTCCTAGTGGTGGTGGTGGTCGTGTCCATCATCTTCGACATACACCCGACTGTCCTTATCCGTGAGGATATTAGAAAGCACGTCAAGTCCATCAAGAAGTTCGTTCTGACGGATATCCGTGGCTTGTACACAGATCGTCGTAGCTGTGACCGCAGCAAGAAGGAGGCAAATGGAGAGTTTCATCTTAGAGTGAAGGTGGTGAGGGATGCTGGGAAGTCTTGGCAAGTTGCAGAATGATAAAAAGCAAGCAGACGTGCAAGCCGGACCGGGTCTCGAGTCGATCGTATCGAATCAAAAGCAGGTTCACCGTTTTCCGGGAGATGAACTTCTGTCGCACCCGGTTTCGGTAGTGAAAGAAACGCACGCCTGTTGACATCAAATGAATGAGCCTTCGAAACGACCGGACAGGCGAATGCGACTGTTCCTGGCTGAGAGTTTCGGTGCGAGATGCGACGTTTCATCATCTACATCTGAAAGCAGATCACGTTGGATCAAGAATAGTACGAACAGCGTGCTCTTTACCGACAAACAGTGACGGCGATATCGTCTGGCGTCGTTTGTCAATTCAGTTGAGGATAGGTCCAACCTGGCGAAGGCAACTCAACCGCGGGGGTATCAACTATCTAGCTACCTCGCAAGCTAAGGGGGTTGTAGCAGCGCGTCCAACCACTGTGCAGCCCATGGAAGAGATCCAGCACAACATGTAAATGGCTGACGTTAATTTTTTTCTGATGCGGTGCAGCTTGGTATTGACGCCGGTTTTGCAACTCTCTTCAGCCGAGATATGGTCGACATTTTTAAAAAAAAAGGCAGCCCTGATCAATCGCGATTGGTCACTGTCAACAGTATCGTGTGCATCCAGGTAGGTGTTCCATTTGTTTCTCATTTGTGCCTCTGGACAGTCCAGTTCCAAGCGAAACCGCTGCAAACTGGTGGTGGATTTTATGGTGGAAGATGATGTGTATTCATGCAGAGGCTATGATGAGAAACGAGAGCAAAGGTGTAACGGGGCACCCTGAAGCTTGTACTGGTGACAGTACAAGCTACTTATTCTGATGACAGAATAAGGCGGGGCCTCATAACTTCACGTACACTGGTACGTGCAGAGGAAGACGGTAAGAAGAAGCGAGTACTTGGTTAAAGTAAAAGTAGAACTGTAGTTAGTATAGTTAATGTCTGCAATAAATCACTATTTATCTTCATCTAACTATGTCTAAATACAAATGTGTATATCAACTATCTGCTCACCACTCATTGCGTGCGTCTGTCGTGGCGCGTCTTCGTTTGTTGATATAATGGCCTATATCAACCAATTAGGAACTACTCGTAAGTGCTACAGAATATTTGTCCTTATGACAATATTCTGAGAATATAACTCTTATAGTTATATTCTATTAACAATTTCTTATAAATTGTTATGTAACGATTCACCCCGTTACATCACCCCCCTTAACCATCAGTCACTTTAGTGACTGATTGACTAAATGGATACTCGTCCCAAATCATTTGGGACAGGGTTTGCACTTGTTGGTCGGCGTCCACTTTCCAACATTTCATCGCATGGTAAACAAGCCCATGCGATGCGCGAGCAAGGCCGCCGAGAGCGCGTCTGCACGTCTCTGTGCGGACGCCGAAGCAGAAACAACAGCAACTGATGTCTCATCGGTTGCTGAAGCGACTCAGCCTGTGTCACTTGGTGATGCAGGCGCTGGTCATGAAGACAATCGTGTCTTCACAGAGTACGAGCTCGGTGTCTCATACTATACTGATACGGATGACGGATCCGTATCGACGGCGATTGAATCTAAGCCGCCTGCCAAGCGTGGCATGGACGATGCTTTGCGTCGCAGCATCTTTGGTTCATCTGATGAATCAGATGAATCATCGCCGAAGCGAAGGCGCTCGAGGTCGCGAGACTCGGGCGCTAACAGTGGTGTCGGTTCTCCTATGGACACCACTTCACAGCGAGGTGCCAGTACTTCTGTCGGCACATCGCAGGAAGAGCGAGACCGCAATGTGTTGCGTCTCGCTCCTGAGAAGAAGGCATGGATGCCTCCAAGATCCGTCATGGATCACTTGTCGGCGACGACGAGTGATCGTTATCGAACACGATTGTTCGATTCGTCAAGGATCCATCACCTTGACCCCAGTGCGAAAACTATCGCGCTGAACATGAATTCTTCATCGATGCTTTCTTTAGACATCGATGGTACAGGGGGAATCACAAACGTGATGGTCCCTCACTGCTTCAAGCGTGGAACGCCTACATCCATAACCTTGAGGATGTAGGTCGTGACGCTTGGAACGACAAACTTATCAAAGCTCGTGATAAGTTTGAAAAGCGAACCCCGACAGGTGCACGCTACAAGCTGCATCGTCTGTCAAGGGAGAAAGGATTACCCTGCCTCTCTTGGGGAGACTCGTGCCCATGTTGTGTGAACAGCTCTGCACGAGCAACTAAGGAGGCTTACCTCCTTACTAGCCCGTGGTGGCGCGTACGTGTCTCTACTGAGATGTACGAAGGGATTGACAACCTGAAATCCCTTTACGACCGTGCCGGGAAGACTTTCTCCGGCGGTCCTTCTGCGGCACAGGATGTGCCGCGTCGTACTGCTCAACCAGACCCAGTACGTCGATCATCAGTTGGGAGCGGGGCTCCCAAGAATCCCAGGACGGGGGATAGCCGCGCCACCGGACGAGATAACTCGTCCGACGTCCGTTCACGTCGCGGTGGTTCAACAGCTGCTCAACTCGATAGCGCTGGCCACCGCGAGAGTCCTCTAATGGAGGTGGAGGAGGAGGAAAGCCGCTCTCCACACGATCATGTGGATCGGTGTGTTCCCGAGAGCTTCTTTGATCGCGTAACGCAAGGGTTACGCGACGATCTCGAACATGAGCGGAATAGGTGTCTCCAAATAGGGAACACTGTCTCGAAGCATCGAGCTGAGTTTGCCTTTGCTCAGCTTGAGAACGAGAGATCTCTGACATCTCTTCGTGACGAGCTAAGGGTAGCTCGTGGGATTGCTGATCGGTCTCGGGATGAGATAACTGCTCTTCAGACCCTTGTTGATGCCCACCATCGGGAGCACAAGGCTCTCTGCGAGATGCTTGAGCGCAAGGGCGTTCTTCATCGGAAGAAGCAGCGTACTGATGGTACGGCTTAAGCCGACCAACGTAAAACGTGGGATGCGTTCGCATCTTACGTGGTAACTCGATCGTGTATGCATTGCCTAGGCGGTGCAATACACGAAATGGGCCGATGTACTTGGGTAGTAGTTTACTGCTACCCAAGTAAGTTACTACATGTTTTGGTAGATTAACCGTAGACAGTAGGACTAAGTCACCTTTATTAAATAAAAGAGTGTTTGCCCTTCCATTCTTGTCAGCGTTTTGCTTTTGCTTATCCACCGCTTCGGCGATGGAGTCTTGCACAAAACGGACTACCGTTTCACGAGCCAGTATGAACTCATCTGATGACTCGTTAGCTTCAGTGTGCTGTGAGCGCACTGCAGCGACAACAACCTTTTCTTCAGTGAGGGCTTCCGCACTCTCACTGGGATCATCTTTTTCAGTGAGGGCTTCCGCACTCTCACTGGGATCATCTTTTTCAGTGAGGGCTTCCGCACTCTCACTGGCATCATCTTCTTCGATATCGATGTTATCGATATCGGCATCAAACGCAATGACTTCTTCGTCAGAGCGTGATGAGCGTGAACTAAATCGGTTTTTGCTCGCGCGAGTCCCTCCCCCCCTTAAACCAGAGTTACACTCTAGTAAGGTCGGTACACGCGGATGGCGCAAGCCATTCACGTAAAACGGTGTATGTGTCGTGGACGCATGCACCGAGTTGTTGATGGCAAACTCTACCATTGGCAAAAACTCACTCCAACTCTTAAAGGAGTGTACGTATCCTCGAAGTATCTCTTCAAGGACACGATTGGCACGTTCCGTCTGACCATCTGACTCTGGATGATCAGATGTTGACATCTTCAAGCGCGTTCCGAGTGATTTGAACACGGAACGCCAGAAATCAGCAGTGAATCGTGGATCTCTGTCTGATACGAGTTCACGGGGCAACCCATGAAGTCGGAAGATGGTGTCAATAAAGACACAAGCACAGCCACTTGCCGTGATTGTCTCTGGTACAGCCACAAGGTGTACCATTTTGCTGAATCTGTCAACAAAAACGAGAATACCCGTATTCCCGCGTGCGTCTTTGGGTAACCCGAAGACGAAATCCATGGAGATGGATTCCCAGCACTCAGCCGGAACCGGTAGAGGCTGTAAAGGTGCACGCAGTGAAGGACTTGACTTCACTCGTTGACAGACTTCGCATGCGCGAACATACTTTCGCACAAACTGGTACTGGCGGGGCCAGTAAAAGTCTCGACGTACCGTGAGATATGTTTTCTCTCGGCCACATTGTCCTCCTATAGGAGCATCGTGATACTCGAACATGATCCGCAAACGCAGATCAGTATCATCTGGAATGACAACACGTGGTGTGTCACCAGAAACGGCTGTATACAGTAAACCGTTACGAGTAGTGTATCGATCTGATGCAGATCGATACGCAGACGATAATCGTTTCAACGGTTTTCGAGATGGTTGGGAGAGATGTGTCAACAACTTCACAATCTCACCATCTTGGGCATATGCCCGCCTCACATCATCATACAACGTTGAAGATGGTACTGAGGACGTCATAACCGCAACAGTGGCTGTCTCACTGTTGGGCTTCGCGACTGGTTCAAAGTCGAGACATCGTGAGAGTGCATCAGCGACGAAATTAAGTCGTCCTGGTTTGTACTCGACCGTAAAGTTGTATTCCGCAAAGAATGACAACCACCGCGCCATTCGTTGTGAAAGGTGCGGGCTGCTCACTGCCGTGCGTAACGACGCATGGTCAGTGTAAACAACGAAGGGTCTATCTCCTAATAGATAGACTCTGAACTTCGCGAGTGCATACTTCATGGCAAGGATTTCCTTGTCATGCACCGGATAGTTCCGCTCAGCTGGTTGTAGCTGACGCGACTGATAGCAGACGACGCGTTCAACGCCTTCAAGATCGTACTGCATTAGTGCACAGCCGATTGCGAAATCGCTGGCATCACAGACCACATGAAATGGCCTGTCCTGATCGGCAATTGCTAGGACTGGGGATTGTATCAAGCTCTACTTGATACCCTCAAAGGAGCGTTGACATTCAGCGTTCCATAACCACCTCTCGTTCTTTTTCAACAAACGAGAGAGGTTTACAGTCATCTCGGCGTAATTGCATGAATACTTGTGCAAATACGCCGCTAGCCCAAGGAATTTTCGAAGACCTTTGACATCGACCGGCACAGGCCAGTCGGTGATCGCCTTGATCTTTTCGGGATCAGGACGTACACCGTTCTTACCAATGATGCACCCAAGAAGTGGTATTTCGCTTGCTGCAAATATACACTTCTTGAGGTTAGCATACAATTGATGCTTTCGCATGATTGTAAGAACCTGTCGGACGTGGTACCTGTGAACCTCAACGTCCGACTTTCCATCCATAGCTCGACTATGGATGAATACGTCATCGAAATAACTCGGCGCGAATTCTCGTACTGGTCTCAACAGATGTGATACACATCTGTTGAACGTGGCAGGGGCATTACTAAGCCCTTGTGGCATTACTAGCCATTCCTAGAGCATGCCGCTAGGCGTGCTAACTGCGGTATAGGGTATATCCCGTTCTCGCATAAGGATTTGATAGAAGCCATCCATCAAATCCATGGACGAAAAGATGGTACTCTTTGACATACCATCAATGATTACGTCCTTCCTCGGCATCGGCGTCTGAGCCGGTACCGTTGCAGCGTTCAATTTGTTTAACGCGTGCACTATCCGCCACCCTCCTGTTGCTTTTCGCACACAGAAGGTCGGAGAGCTATGTGGGGAAGTTGATTCTCTCACATGGCCCGCAGCTAAACGATCGGCAAAGAACTTGTCGATCGTAAGTACTTGTTCACGAGGCAGTGGCCACTGCTTCATGATACAGTACTTCGAGCCTGGTTTAAGCTCGACCTCGTGTCGAATACCTTTATCCTTCGGTAATTCGCACGGAACAGTTTCAGGGAATACATCCTTGAATTCAACCAAATCTTCATAGAGAGGATTTTCCTTGAGCGATTCCCATGATTGGGAGTCATATCGCTCAATTCGTGTCTTTTCATCTAGGACACTCTCGTCCATAGATGAACTACTGAGAACTCTCTCGTTCTCAGTAAACACTGTTGCTGACCTTATGTCGGTTACATACTCGTCGTCAGCGACGAGTATGCAGATCTGCTTGACTTTGCCACTACGCAGATCACGCAAGAACCTTTTATGTTCGAGCGTTGGCAACTGAGTGATCTCCGAAATTAACTTCGGAGGCGCAATCAGATCAAGTGTATAAGCGCCTACACTTGATCCGTTATTGACTATGACATTCAATGTCTCTGTCATTTCCTGGGGACTTATTCCCTCAGGCTTCGAAGGACTTATTCCTTCGGCTTCCCGGGGACTTATTCCCGCGGGTTTCGCGGACTTATTTCCACCGTATCTGTAATCTTGGGACTTATTCCCTTTACTTCCTCTAGCTGGGGTTGCGCAACCACAGCGAGATCCTCTACGAAAGACTCTCCAGTCGATCTAGGATTATCGTTTCGCTTAACCTGAGCGATCGATTGTTTCTCTTCTAGATGTTCCCCGCTAGGGATACATCTTTGTCCCAGTCCACCCGACTTATTCGAGTGGTGGATCTTCGGCGCAGCCTGTGTTTCCTCACAGCCGCCGGAACTTTGCTCCGAAGTGTAACCGTTTGGTACACTAAGGTTTTGTGCAGTCGTACTAACGACCGTACCACAAGTGAGGCCATCGCACTCACTCGTAGTACATCCACACGCTTGTGGACGCTCCAAAACGTTCATCAGATGGCCATCTGATGAACAAGCGGCAGGCATCGTTACTGTCCGATGTTGCCAGTTTACCCGTGGTTCGTACCTTCTGAGCCACGGTATTCCAAGGATGACATCAAATTTGTCATCCAGATCCAATACGATAAAGTCATCGTCATATTGGGTATCTTCTAGCGTATAGTGGATCTTCACTATACGCTTCATGACGGTTACGGATGCGCCTGTCGCAAGACGTACCGTCATCCTCGTTGGAGGTGTGTCACATTCACTGAACTTAAAGTGACCATCTTCTAGCGATTGGCGTCGCACAAAATTGTTGGACGCCCCACAATCGACTAGAGCTCGAAGGGACAACTTATTCGTCACTTCGAGTTTCAAGGTAATGAGTGAGACCTCATTACCTAGAGCAGCAACGCACAACGTTTGTGTGTTGGGAGCAACCTTCATCAAGAGGCCTACAAATTCTCTTGACGTTGCTGGACCAGTAGGGTGCTCCGCACCTACTGATCCTGTCCGTTTTTTGACGGTCCATCCCGTTGTTGCGTCTTTGCACCAACAGCGGACCCTCGTCCCTGCCCCTTTCTCATGGGTGGACGGTCACTACGCCCAGTGTCGCGAGACACTGGACGAGGGGCACTACACTCGTAAGCGTAGTGTCCTGTCTTTCGACATCTGTTGCATTTCTGCAACTTCTTGTAGCCTGTAGAGCGAGCCTTCTCGCTCTCTACATAACAGAGTTCCATCGGCTCTGGACCTCCGTTGTCATATCGTCTCGGTTGACGATATGATGTCGAGCTGGCGCGAGCCTGTCTCAGACTGAAGTCTTCCTGTTCCGCAATGGAAATGACTTGTTCTAGTGAATCTAGCTCAAGCCGGAACAGGTGAGTCTTGACGGGACCATCCGCAAGACCCTGTATGAACACCGAAACCAACGTGTGTTCATCCACCGGGTTGGAACTTATAAAACTCGTGAGATGTCGTATATGTTGTGCGTAAGCGTGCACATCACGCTTACCCTGCTTGAGCTTCAAGAGTTCGGTTCGAGCTCTGAACTCAGCTCTAGGCGGTTCAAACGTTTGTCTGAGCCGCGACTTGAAGACTTCCTAACGACCCAAACGCATATGGGTCGTGCAGCTTGAGCCCCAGTGCCCAAGTCTTGGCACGTCCTGCCAGATTTGACTGGGCAAATGCAGCTTGCATATCCCCGTCGTCGATGCGACGCGCCCTTATGGCGTCATCCAATTCGACGAACCATCTCAAGAGGGAGTCTTCTTCGACCCCCCTATACTTGGAGATGTCAATCTTCAAGGTTTCGGGTCGACGCGAGTGCATAGACCCACCAGCAGCAGCCTGCTGCTGTCTCAACAGTTCAAACTGTTGAGCACCTTGTTCTCTCAACAACTCTGCTTGTTGATAACCTTGTTGGTGAAGCAAGGCTACTTTCTCGCGTCCTGCGTCAAGTTCATTTTGAATGAACTTGGCGATAGTAGCATGTTGGGCATCTCTATTGAGAGCCTCTAGCATGACGCTAACAGCATGGATGCCCATGATCGAACCCATTCGTTCAACCGCATCCCATTCGACATCGCTCAAATGGGAGTAGCCGTCACGCGTAGCGTGAAAGCTTTGGTCATCTTCATCATCCAACATATTCATGTTGGATGTGAACGCGGTCCTTGGACGGACTACGAAGTGCTACCAGGTGTAACGGGGCACTCTGAAGCTTGTACTGGTGACAGTACAAGCTACTTATTCTGATGACAGAATAAGGCGGTGCCTCGTAACTTCACGTACACTGGTACGTGCAGAGGAAGACGGTAAGAAGAAGCGAGTACTTGGTTAAAGTAAAAGTAGAACTGTATTTATAATAGTTAATGTCTGCAATAAACCACTATTTATCTTCATCTAACTATGTCTGAATACAAATGTGTAAATCAGTTATCTGCTCACCACTCATTGCGTGCGTCTGTCGTGGCGCGTCTTCGTTGGTTGATATAATGGCCTATATCAACCAATTAGGATTTACTCGTAAGTGCTACAGAATATTTGTCCTTATGACAATATTCTGAGAATATAACTCTTATAGTTATATTCTATTAACAATTTCTTATAAATTGTTATGTAACGATTCACCCCGTTACAAAAGGTCAAATTAGGGAACAGCACCTTCAATATCGAGTCATCTCAGTGATCATGAACACTACAGATGCTCGGATCAAGCACGCCAACCGATGTGCGTGATACGTCCGTGTCAGATCGAAGATGGAGGACATGTCAACTCAGCGCAGAGCATCTAGAGAGACGTAAAAAGGCTGGGTATGATCAGCGGAGAGGCGAGCGCCACTCACAACATACACGCAGGCAGACAACATGTAACGGGGTAGCCTGTTACATGGAATCGATACCAAACTGTGTCAATAGGAAATATTGTCTAGCGTGATAATATTCTACCGATGTTATCCGGGATGGAAATATTGAAGGAATATTATCCACTTTTAGGATAAAATTCATGCGCTGCTCAAAGATTGGTTGATGTACCACATATCAACCATAGATTGTCACCAATCGCAGCAAGACGCGCGCAATGAGTGGTGAGCTGGTTGTCGTCATACGACGGCGTAGTTTAAAATAGTTGGATAAAGATTAGAGTTATACTGATAGCTTAACTAAATCAAATGCAGTTCTTTTTTATCTTTACTTGACCGAGTCGTTTAAGTAGAATAGCTTCCTCTGCACGTACTAGTGCACGTGAAGTTTCGCGGCACCCCAAACAAAGGGTGCCCCGTTACACCTGGTAGCACTTTGTAGTCCGTCCAATGACTACTTAGTGTCCGTTCAGCATGAACATGTTGGAAGTAGAAGACGACAGCTTTCACGTCACACGTGAAGGCTACTCCCATCTGAGTGACTCAGAATGGGAGGTAG